AAGATGGCTGCCACCATAGCTGAGCAAACAGTGAGCTTCTTGGTGTAGCTCTCCTCCGTGTCCTTCTCCTTCCCCCAGCAGCGCTGCTCCTGGATAGCGCTGCTCCAACCGGCGCTCCAACCAGTGTGTCGCCAAACTTGCACACCGAAAAAGAGGCCGGGCTCTTCGCCCGGCTGGGAGATACAGCGGCCTGCTTGCCTCTTCGGGCGGTGACTTCCAGGCCGCTTGGCCTTCCAAGCAACCGGTACCTCCTCCCTTTCGGAGGGAAACATCATTGCAGACTCTGATATTGCCCGTACAGGCCCTAGACCCAGATTGGTTGGACTGGTATGTTATGATTCTAGTTGTTCGTTGCCTGAAGGCCAACACTCACTCACATAGACTTCCGGATATGCCCATACATACACAGAAGGAAGGGGAGAGGATAGGAGTATCACACCGCACAGGGAGAGATAGCACAGCAGAAGACTTGACCATGTGATATGACAGGGTACACTGAGAGTGCAATTCACTCCACTCAATCCTCACAACCAGTCGTAGAGAAAAGCCGAGCAGATCACATCCAGGAAACAATGAAACGATGATGGTCCAAACACAGTATCCCACTGTTTATGAAACTCAGAGTCTCGAATTGTCAGGATAACTTCAGTACTACAGTGCGCTGCTCAGGAATGAGCAGCGCTTCACTCCCCAACCCTGATTAGCACCCGTAACGCCCTTTGAGTCCCTGAAACATCAAGCGCCACCCAGATACAGCCTCCCTCCCGGATGGAAGTCTGCAGCAGCGCCACCAAACCCTGACAAGATGACCTCTGAGAAGAAGAAGCTGCAGCTATGGCTGCAGCGCAAACACCCTGGAACCCCACTCCGGAGGAGGGTCCATGTTGCATACTTGTGAGTACTTCAACAAGTATGGGCAGAACCAAGAGATCAACCAATATAGGATGAGCATGTATGCAGCGGAAGTCTGATAAATGGACTGACTCACATAGACTGACTCACACAGATCTCACTCCACACACAAACAATCGTGAGATGGTGGGGTCTGAGCCAATCATACACAGATGAAAGGTGGGAGGAGAGACGAAGGAGGTGGGAGATGTAGGCAGCGCCAGATGTCACCGAGATAGAAACCAGTAGGTCCCCGATATGGTAATCCAAAATGTCATCGGACAAGATCAAAATGTCGTAGACAATAAGTCACCAATGTCGGAGATACAGAGTCCTAATGTAACCGGTGTCAAATCTGTGATGCCGCCGAGTATCAAACCCAACAATCTCCAAGTCTCGAATCTGGTAAGTACCACAGCCTCTTACCACCGAAGTCCAACACTGATCTCTGTCCAGCTAGTATCAAGTCTCCAATCTGAAGAAGAAGAAGAAGAAGTCTGAAGAAGAAGAAGAAGAAGAAGAAGAAGAAGAAGAAGAAGAAGAAGAAGTCTGAAGAAGAAGAAGAAGAAGAAGAAGAAGAAGAAGAAGAAGAAGNAAGAAGAAGAAGAAGAAGAAGAAGAAGAAGAAGAAGAAGAAGAAGAAGTCTGAAGAAGAAGAAGAAGAAGAAGAAGAAGAAGAAGAAGAAGAAGAGAAGGAGAAGAAGAAGAAGAGAAGAAGAGAACAGCGGAGGAGAGAGGTGAGGAGGAGAGGAACCAGGGACGGTGGAGGGAGGAGACGACCTCACCCCCAAGTACCTGGTTTACCGCAACTGCCTGGAGCCGAATTACGGCTATGGGTGCTCGCTGTCTGGCTCCTCGATCGCTGCTGCTGCTGCGCTAGCTGCGCTGCTGCTGCTCCTCTATGCTGCGCTAAGAATAGCGCTGCGCTCCTGCTGTAGAACCGAAACGAACTGGCGCTCTCGCAGCGTCCAGTTGCTCGATGCCTCAGAATGAGGCTGGACCGGTCTTTAGTACCGGTGAGCAGAGGCTGGCCTCAATGCTGTGAGGCCTGGCCGTGATCTGAACCGTCGAGATCGTCGGCTCAGATCAGACCGGCGGGCGGCAGCCTCAAGAGCACCGCCAGGCCCAAACGGTAATGTCGTTTGGGCCTGCCCGTTGGGTCTGGTCCAAAATGCGGCCTTTCGGCCTGCTGTACCCCCAAGTCTGGGCCTTTAGGCCCTACTGTGTCCCTCTGGCCCTAAGTCGGATCCGGTAGGGCCCGTGTGGCGTCGAAGATGTAACAGTCCAGCAGGGCACCAATCTCTCTTGCCTCCAGCAGACCTCGATAACCCAGACCTCTGTCAGCCCCTGCGTGCTGGCAGAGTACAGTGCAGGTCCCAGCTATGACCTGCACTCCGGAGGTCTGGCTATGCCCGTCTCCTTCCATGCTGAGCCGTCACCACTTCCGGTTCACGCGTAGCACAGCCGCGATGTACACGGTACCAACTCCCAAAAGCCCTGAACCGATGTGCCCAATCTATCTATAGACTACAACTAGCCTAGACTCGACCTAGACTGGACTGTCTGACCGACCGGTACCGTTTCTGTTTCGGCCTCTCGGCCTCTACCGGACCCGGCTATAGGCTATAGGACCATCTATCAGAATAGGCCCTTAGGGCCTGTCTGTCCTAGGGGTAGCCCGGGCCTGCTATGCGCAGTTAGGGTAGCTGTAGGGAATCCTGTTAGTACCGGGCCTGTGTTTTCCCGGATTTGCAGATGTGCCCCTCACGAATTTCCCTCACAGGTAGGTCTCTCGGTTAGCCCTCAGCCAAACAAAATTACGAATCTGTCCTACCTAAAGTACAGCCTCGACAGAGAGAGGCTACAGGCGACCAGAAAACAGCAAGTCATTGCAGGTATCCGCCTATACCTAACGTACAACTACTGGGCCTCTAAAAATGCCACTTTTGTCTTCTTCTGCTCGGCCTCCAGTACCCGCAGATCTACCTCTTCAGGGTGCGGTACCGGCCTACCCGCTACTCGAGTGTTTTTCCTGCTGCAATCCCTCAATGTCACGGCCACAGGTAAGTACCGGCCCTGAGGTGAAACGGTTTTTCACCTTTTGCAGTAGCAGACGCAGATCCCAGGGCTCGATCCCTAGTCCCCCCCTTACCTGTGTACAGTACCTGTGTCGACCCGTAGAGTTGAACCCACGACCTGTGTATTAGTAACAGTTGGTAGGCTGTCGTAGGGTCCATAGGAAGCCAGGGTTCGATCTGTAGGTCTGTCGAATAGAAGTCTTAGTGAGTTCCAGAAGTCTTAGCTGTAGCCTTCTAGAAGGTCGGCAAGTGGGCAAGTGGGCAAGTGGGCAAGTGGTGAGTCAAGTGGTGGACTAAACCGCAGTGCGATTGCAGTACGACCCCGGTGGGATAGCAGTGAGTCCCTGTTCAGTCAGCGGTCAGGTCCAGTCAGTCCCAGTCCGGTCCAGCAAGTACCACGAGGGACTGTGAGCACCATGGGCCAATGGCAAAGGGCAGACCAACGAGTTTCAGAAGTATAAATCAAGCGGCAGCGCCCAGCCATTCATTCATTCCTGCGTGAGCCATGCGGAAGCGCTGCCACAGTGACTTGTGCAAGGAGGTCTGCAGTGAGCCCGGAGCCGAAGTGGGCCGCGAGAGGAGCGTAGCATAGCGATAGGGTAGTTGCGGCCATAGCCGCCATAGCTAGAGTTAGTGTGTAGTGTGTGTGTGTGTGTGTGTGTGAGTTCAGAGAGTCGCGTGTGGGATATCAAGGGTGATCCGGCGTATGTGAACAGTGAGTTGTTTGGGCGCTGAGTCGCCATAGCCAATTGAAAGTGAACTCGTATCTGGATGCCATATCTCCGGGTTATGAGTGGGCGCATGTCGCCAGTTTGCTGCGCTACTGTTTACATGCATGAAAAGTGTGAATGAAAGTGAGTCTGATTGCATTGGTATCGGAGCTGGTACCCGCTATTCCACGCGTCGAGTTGTGTGTCGCAGGAGTGATGCGCCATAGCAAAGGTGGCCGCCGAGAGTCATAGTCCGCCATAGCGGACCTGAAGGTTGGAGAAGCCGCCGCGCACCTGCAGAGAAGACCACGACGAAGAAGAAGACCGAGAGAGAGAGAGAGAGAGAGAGAGAGAGAGAGAGAGAGAGAGAGAGAGAGAGAGAGAGACAAGATTGGGTTACTACGTACCTGCTGCACTGGAGATATCGCTATGGCGAGAGAGAGAGAGAGAGAGAGAGAGATGAGCGATACAAATTTGGCTGTTCGTACCTGTGAGGTTGCTGCGCAGTTCCACGAAGAAGAAGATAGCGGCCATAGCCGTGGAGTTTGACCACGGAGTGACGAAGGAAGGAGGCGAAGAGAGAGAGAATCAAAAAAAAAAAAAAAAAAAAGAGATAAAAAGAAGATAGCCAGGGTGAAAGGAGGCGAGGAAGGTGAAGAGAAGAGGGAGGTTGGTGAGGGAAAGTGAAGCCGGCAGCCATAGCTCGTTAGAGGAGTTGATCGGAGGCGTTGACCAGAGTTGACCGGCGTTGACCGGGAGTTGACCGGGGTTGACCGGAGCGTTGACGGAGCGTTGACCGAGCGTTGACTAAGGCGTTGACCAAGACTTTGACCAAGGTGGAGCCGGTAAAATCTCGCCAAACCTTCAGCCTATCCCTCGCCCTATGGATGTGCACGCACCCTGTGGTACTTGTTGAGTCCAGTCTGTCTGTCTCTTCTTTCAGCATCGAGTCTCTTCTGTCTAGGTGATAGTACTCTGTGGGTAAAGGATAGGGCCTTGTTGACCAAACCCACACGGGTTGAGTAGGGCTAAAGACCGTGTCTGACGACTCGACTGTCCCGGAGGCCTAACTCTCCCAAGGACCGGTACTGACCGGCGGGCTTCTCGGTGTGGCACGGTAGGCCCAAAATCCGAGCTGTGGGCTGCACAACAGGCCGTCTAAGTGTTGAGAGACCTGCTGATCGCGTCATCCTGTTTGCGACGTTAAATAATTCCTGAGGAGTTACGGGGGATCTCCTTAAATGCCTCCTGATCAGCAACAGGTCTAGTAGTAACAGCTATAGTATAGGTCTAGGCTCGAGACCCTAGTTGGTAGGATCCCTGTCCGGATTCTGTGAGTCTTAGATTGAGGCAGTAGGTTTGCCAATCAGGGGTTAGAGTCTGGAACCGTAATCCGGTTGTGCACTTGTCACCATGGTTGAGACCCGTAGTGGGACGAGCACTAGCCCCTACTCCCAGGAGCAACAGGAAAAGATGGCCGCCTTAGTGAGAGAGAACAAGGAGAGGAAAGAGATCCAGAAATAGGCGAAGCTAAAGGCCATCGCAGAGGAGCAGGCGGCGAAGATGAAGAAATTGGAGGAGGAGATGAAGAGAGTTCAACAGGAGGAGGAAGAGAGGGGAAAGGTTGCCGAAGAGGAAGCAGCAGCCGAGGAAGAAAAAGAGAGAAAACGTATTGAAGAGAGAGGAGAGAGTAGTAGCATGAAGAATAGCGAAGACGCAAAGATGGAGAAGAATATCAGCGAGTGGATCGCTAACTTATCACTGGGGGAAGATGAGGAGGCACAGTTCTATGTGCCACAAGATGAGAGGGATGCATTGGTCAGTGAGCTGGCAGCAATTGAGGACCCCCTGGATAGGCAAGAAAGGGAGGAGGAGAAGAAGTTGGAATGGAAACTGAGGATGAAGAGAGAAAAGAAGAGGAGGAGGGATGAAGTTAACAGGTTGACCGCAGAAGTGGCGAAAGTGAGAGACTGCAGGCAGCAGGTGCAGGCGCAGGCAGACATGTCTGCCAAAATGGACAAGATGCTGGGTTACTTGGAAGTGTTGAGTGCAGCCTAGATGGAGGAGCGTCAGGCCAACAGGAGCCAAGAGGTAGCACTGAGTGCCATGCGGTTCGGGTTTAGAGAATTCGCACGCGAGATGGTCACCCACGTTAGAGGAGAAGTGAGGAGATTGGGAGATAACGTGGGGAAGTTTTGTGAGGGCGCTATTGAGAGCGCCAAAGCAGTTGCCGCTGTAGAGAGCGAGGCGAGACCCCGCAAGGACCCAGTCAAACTTGAGTTCCCAGATGCGTATGGAGGGAAGAAGGAAGAAAATTTCGATAACTGGGAGGCTAGTGTGAATAGCTACGTGTATCTACAACACATCCTGACTGAGGAGCAAGTCCTCGTGGCCTTCCAGGCCCTTCAGGATGAGGCGACTAGTTTTGCCAGGTCCCTCGTGCGCGCAGCCGGTTGTGAAAACAACCTGGTTGCATACTCTAAAATCACCCCCCTTCCTCAATTCTTCAAGATCCTGAGGGAGTGATTTGCTGATCCAACGAGAGGCGTCAGGGCCTCTGACAAGTTGCAGACGATCCACTCGTGACAGTGGAGGAGTGCAAGAGCACTCACGGGCGTCATGGACGACTTAGTAGCCGTCCCAGAGTTGTTTTATCGTGCCATGCCAGAGCCCCTGCGTGGGCACTTCTTTGACAAGTCTCAACAGGTCGGCATCACGTATGATGTGTTGAGTAGGGAAGTCGTCCTGTTCGAGTCAAAGTCCATGCCAGTGTCCACTTTCTGGCATAAGGACCTGGACAAGGGGAAGAAGTGGAAAGGTCGTACCATCTCAGGCCAAGTGAGGGCCAAGGATCATATGATCCTTACCTTAGAGGAAGGTGGTACAAATGAGGTCCCATACAATCAGATCGAATGGGGCCTTGAGGAGGAGGACAGTAGAGTGGGACAAGGGAGGTCCTATGCTGCTGTCGTGACTGGAGGGAGGCCGCAAGCTAGAGGAGGAGGCCAGGGCCAAAGGGGCCAGGCCATGGGAGGCCGAGGACCGGGCGCACAGGGGGTTGGCGGACAAGGGAACCGGCAAGTGGGAGGTAGGGGTCAAGGTCCCCCGCCAAATCGCCAGGGTTCTTGTCGGTCCCCACAGCGACGAGGTGGAAGGCCACCTAAAGGAGGATGGCACCCAGGCTTGCCTTAGGGCAGGCCCTGGGAGGATTTGGGCTTGGACCAGCGCGTATGGCAGGAACGTGTGGACCAGGTTCAGTGCGTATTTGTGGTGACCCGGCCCATGTAGTAAAATTTTGTCCCAAGTATAGACAGGCCCGTTGGGCTGCTCAGCAGTCAAAAGGCAGCCGCTAGTAGGGGTCGCAACTGCCCCTACTTCAAGGCCATGTGGGGAAGCGAGCGCGCGCACACAGGAAACTCCCAAACCACATGAGCCTATGGCAGAGGTTGCAGGTCTGTGCCGAGCTAGCTGTCCAGAGACTGCTTGTGTTAGCGTCTCTCTAGGCACGTCCCTCACAGGTGTGGCATAAGAGTTGAAGGAGAGGATGCCAGCCTGGACCAAAGTGAAGAAGGAGAGTAAGGGACAACTGATCTTGGTAGGTGATGAAGTGTTTAGAAGCAGAGTAGGGGCCCTTATAGACTCAGGGGCTACCCGTAGCTATATTAGCCGTAGGGCGCTGAAGAAGTTGAGGCTAGGATTGAAGGTCAAGAAATTGGAAGACCCCATAGTCACTGTCCTCGCAGACAACCACATGATGCGAGTTGAGGACTATGTAGAGGGAGTCCAGGCGTACTTTCGACTAGAGAACCTTTCTCCATTCCCTGACTCTCCTCGTTAAGGATGACCTTCCTTTCGACATAGTGTTAGGAATGGATTGGGGAGAGGCAGCCGGGGCCACACTCCACTTGAGAGAGCATGAGTGTAGGCTCCCTAGTCCGCCAGGCGAGGTTAAGACTGCCGGCCTGTTTCATGTGTCAGGTGTAGATAACACCTTGGCACATTGCTGTCTCAGTGCTGCCGCGTTGCGCGACTAGTGAAAAAGGAGCAATTAGAGGACCAGGTCTTTGTAGTTTATGTTAGACCTGTCACCGAGGCTAAGGAAGAGGTAAGTTCCACAGATCCAACCATTGCCAAGCTGCTGGAGGAGTTTAAAGACTTGACTGAGTCGTCGATCAGAGTAGTGCCGCGACCATCCAGCACAGGATAGAGATAGAGCCTAACAGTAGAACTCCTAAGGGAGCAGTCTACAGGATGTCCCCTAGAGAGTTAGAGGAGTTACGCAAGCAGTTAGACGAGCTCCTTGAGAAAGGTTGGATCAGGCCCAGTTCGTCTCCTTTTGGGCACCTGTTCTGTTTGTCCCCAAGAAGGAAGGAGAGCTTCGTATGTGTATAGACTATAGGGGTTTGAATGCGATTACTATAAAGAATGTTGAACCATTGCCCAGGATAGACGATCTCTTAGATCGGGTGCAGGGTTGCTAGTATTTCTCTAAAATAGACCTGAAGTCCGCATACCATCACATAGAGGTTCATCCTGATGACCAGTACAAGACTGCGTTCCGGACTAGATATGGGCATTATGAGTTTATAGTGATGCCCTTTGGACTGACCAACGCGCCAGCTACATTTCAACGTTGTATGAATGATTTGTTTAGACCTTGGTTAGACAAGTTTGTAGTAGTCTATTTAGATGACATATTAGTGTTCAGCAAGACCCTCCAAGAGCATCAGGGTCATTTAAGGCAGGTCTTAGAGAAGCTAAGAAAGGCTAGCTTCAAAATCAACCCGAAGAAGTGTGAGTGGGCCAAGACACAAGTCCTGTACTTGGGCCACGTATTAGACGGGGATGGCATTAAGCCAGAGGACAACAAGATAGCGGCAATTCGAGACTGGCCGACACCCCTCACGTTGACAGAGTTGCGGTCGTTTTTAGGCCTAGCCAACTACTATAGAAAGTTCGTGAGGAACTTCTCTACCATTGCCGCTCCCTTGCGAAGGTTGCTAAAGAAAGAGGCAATCTGGCAATGGGATAAAGACTGTACGTCTGTGCTAAAGAGATTAAAGCGCGCGTTAATAGAGTATCGTGTCCTCAAAGTAGCTGATCCATCCTTGCCATTTGTCGTCACCACTGACGCGAGTCAGTATGGTATAGGCGCCGTGTTGCAGCAAGATGACGGCAATGGCAATAGACCCGTAGAGTTCATGTCAGCGAGGATGCCCTCCGAGAAGGTAGCCACCTCGACGTACGAGAGAGAACTCTACGCTCTCAGGCAGGCCTTAAAGCACTGGAAGCATTACCTGCTTGGGAGGCACTTCAAAGTATACTCAGACCATGAAACGCTTAGATGGTTAAAGACCCAGGCCAAAACGACACCTAAATTGACTAGGTGGGCCGCTGAGATAGACCAGTATGACTTTGAGCTCAAACCGGTCAAAGGCAAGTACAATGGAGTTGCGGATGCTCTAAGTAGGAGATCAGACTACTTTGGAGCTATAATGCATTATCTGGACATAGGAAAGGACCTGCAAGAGAAAGTCCGACAAGCGTATGCGCAAGATCCTATCTACAGTGACCTCCTCAAGAGAGTTAAGGAGGCCCCAGAGACTGAACCACACCACCGCACTACTGAGGGCCTATTGTTTGAGAAGACTAATGTAGTAGACCGTCTGTGCATCCCCAACAGCGAAGAGATCCGTAGTCTGATCCTAGAGGAATGCCATGACACAGAGGGACACTTTGGTTGGCAAAAGACATTAGCCAATCTGATGCGTGCGTACACCTGGCCAGGAATGAAGAATGATTGCATAGAATATGTTCGCAGTTGTAAAGTATGCCAGCGGAACAAGACTACTACGAGCGCACCTCTAGGTCTTCTCAGACCTTTGCCTATTCCTGATTAGCCTGGAGACTCAGTGCCCATCGACTTCATGGATGGGAGTCTACGAATCTAAGTTGCTGATGTCATCTGGCGGCCATCCAGAAACGAACGGTCAGACTGAGCAAATGAACAAGATCCTACAGCAAGTTTTGCGCATGTATATTAGACCGGATCAGATCAACTGGGATGAGATGTTACCTAAGGTCACTAGTGCGTACAATAATAGCGTGCATATGTCCACCTGTCGCACTCCCGATGAGTTGCATAAGTCCTTTCGGACGCGTAGACCATTCGAAGGACTGAACCGGGATCAGATTCACAGGCTACCGACTACCGCCTGGAACCAGGGAGTTTGCTATACAGCACGAAAGAGAGCTAGCTACAGTTGTTGAAAACCTTAGGAAGGCCCAGCACAGAATGATAGAAAAGGCAAACAAGCACCGCCGCCCATCTCAGTTCCAAGTAGGCGACTTAGTCTGGGTCAAGTCCAAAGAGTTTGCACTTGAGGAGAACATCTCGCAGAAGTTACTGCCTGCATATAGAGGACCGTGGCCGGTTCTAGAAGTCAAGGGCGGAGAGGATGGACCGTCCTACACTATAGAGATTCCAGCACACCTCCACACCTACCCGATGTTCCACGCTTCAAAGTTGTTGCCGTGTGTCACAAGTCAACATTTCCCTTCAAGAAGATCCATGATCCACCCGGATATGGATGGCAGATATGACGTTGACGGCATTGTAGATGACGATGTGTTTAGGACTGGAGGTAGAGGTCGTCCGCAGAAACAGTATAAAGTCCGTTTTGCTTATCAGGAACCGGAAGACGACCGCTGGTTTACTAGGACAAAACTTCTAGAAACAGCTCTCGACATAGTCAGAGCTTACGAACGTGATAAGAAGGGTGAAGGTCCGGCCTTGGACTGAAATATTTTCGGAGGACCTCGAATTTAGGACGGCGGGAGTGAAATGGTTTTTCACCTTTTGCAGTAGCAGACGCAGATCCCAGGGCTCGATCCCTAGTCCCCACCTTACCTGTGTACAGTAATTGTGTCGACCCGTAGAGTTGAACCCACAACCTGTGTATTAGTAACAGTTGGTAGGCTGTCATAGGGTCCATAGGAAGCCAGGGTTCGATCTGTAGGTCTGTCGAAAAAAGTCTTAGTGAGTTCCAGAAGTCTTAGCTGTAGCCTTCTAGAAGGTCGGCAAGTGGGCAAGTGGGCAAGTGGTGAGTCAAGTGGTGGACTAAACCGCAGTGCGATTGCAGTACGACCGCAGTGGGATAGCAGTGAGTCTCCGTTCAGTCAGCGGTCAGGTCCAGTCAGTCCCAGTCCGGTCCAGCAAGTACCACGAGGGGCTGTGAGCACCATGGGCCAATGACAAAGGGCAGACCAACGAGTTTCAGAAGTATAAATCAAGAGGCAGCGCCCAGCCATTCATTCATTCCTGCGTGAGCCATGCGGAAGCGCTGCCACAACGACTTGTGCAAGGAGGTCTGCAGTGAGCCCGGAGCCGAAGTGGGCGAGAGAGAAGGAGCGT